ATGCTGGCAGTGGCAGCAGCAGGGAAGCTGTAGGTGCAACATGGCCCTGTATATTGGCATGGGGTATACCATCAGGGGGGCCTCCCCTGGCCATACTGGTAGGTGCCACCCATGCCACCGAAATGCAGTTGGCCGCCAGGTGGGCAGCTGGTGGTAGGGGTGGTGGGAAAGCCATAGGAGTAGCTCCCTATGCCTGGTACATGGGGCCATGCTGTACCTATGGCTTCCCCACCACTGCCACTGCCTTCATCTGCCCACCCAGCAGCTGACTGCAGTTCAGCATTGCAGGCAGCACCTACCAGTATGGCCAGCGTGGGCCCCCCTGACAGTAGTGGCAGTGGGGAAGCCATAGGGGTAGAACCCCAAGCCTGGTGCCTGGAGCTGGGCTGCACCACCACTGCCGGGTGGGGAAAAGCCAGCAGTGCATGCCCAACTCGGCACGTGGCAGCCACAAGTTATAGCGCTCAGGACTGAGAGGGCAAGCCTGTGCCATGCATGTTGCTGTGGGAGCCAGGGGCAGCCCAAGCACTGCTCTCTAGCATGTAGGAGGTGCCGCCAGGCAGAAGCTGCTCCCCTAGCTGCATACTCGGCTTGGCTTGGCTCTGCTCTGCACTAGTGCCAACACACTCAAGCCCCTTCCCCACCCCCCACTAGCCTGGGTCCCTCTGCTTGGTGGGGCTCACATCCAGGATGGAGCCACTACTACCATCGTAATCCCTCTGTGCCTGTCCCCACCTGGGCTTGGGGCTGTTTTGCTCCCCTCCCTCCCCCAGATGGGGCCTGTGATGCTGGGAGGGGGGAGGGAGGAGGGGAATTAAACACCCCTCTGTCCCTCGTTCAATTGAGGCTGCTGCTGGGGCTGGCCGCACCCCCCACCCCCTGCCACTCCAGCACCAAGGTGGAGAAAATGCTTCACAGGGGCTCCTGTGCCCTGGTCAAGCAGATACCGGCTGGGGTCCCCTGGGAGAAGAGGGGAGGGAGGGGGGAATAAACCTCCTCCCTTCCACATCTGCCTCAGGGGCCAATGCCACACTGGTGTCTGGCCAAGCCCCCACCCCAGTGCTGGCTGGAGGGCAAAGGGGCAGGACCTGCCCTGCTCTCTGAAGCAGACAGCCCAGTGCAGTCCAGGGCTGAATATCGCGTTGGTATGCTAGAGGACTCTGATTTAAGTTAAACCAGGAAGCGATCTGGGACAGAAGTTCCATAAGCTGGTTTGACCCCAATCAGTTAAGTCTGATACTACATTCAACCAGGTTTATCTTAAACCTGTTTTGGCCATTTTGAAACTGGTTTATGGGCACTGAACTTTTTTTCTGTTACAGGGTTAAACCAGTTTTTGATCACTTAAACTAGTTTATGTGTAACATGTGTCCCTAGCCCTAAGGTTCCCTACATGCTTACTGTAACTTATTTGCACCTTTGCTATAATCCTAGTAAAGACATCAGCCTTATGGTCTACAGTTTAACACATGAAGGAAGTATGTGACTGATATAAGGAAACATACAACATTTTGAAGAAGGTTTCTGATCACTTCATTACATTAAAGAGAAAGCACAAAAGACTGCAAAACATTTAGAAACCCCAAGCCTCCTAAACACACTGCTTTTAACTTTCCCTCTTCTTAGGATTCATTTGTATTCAGGAAGGCATAAGCAGACGGACTGCTCTGATGCTACCCCTCCGGTAACTCTTCAGTCCCTCTGTGGGTTGACTCCCTGGCCAGCCTCCCACAAAGTGATCAGACCCCTAACTTCCCTTCCAGTTAGACCTCCCCTTAGCAAACAAGCTCTTCTTAGTAGGAATAAGATCAGTGATGGGAGTAGGTAAAGATTCATAAAGAGAGTTCAAAACTTCCCATAGTAATCTGTAACTTGTACAAATTCCCTGACTCCTGACATGTTAATTTTCTTACACCTTTGAGAGCATCCACTGACATAATGTACCTATACATGATAACAATTAGCCACCAAGGACTGGCAGACCTTAACTAAAGTTGGGGGGAATTTTAATTTGGTTCTTCTTGTGCATAGTAACAATGCAATAATTTGAAACACCGCCTGGCTATATTTAGGGATCATGTTATGCGAACACTCAGAATCTAAAAGTTGCCATATCTGAGATTATTTTTTCAGAAATAACAAGCGATGAGCCAATCTGAATAGGAAGATACCTGCATGCCCAAGTGGAATTTAAACAGAAGGGGGAAAGGAGAAAAGGACAAAGACAAAACATAGCTGAGAGAAGGAAAATATTAACACAAGAATATTAATATTAGCTCAGGATAGTTAAGAGCTATGGAGGTAGAGGTCCATGTTTTTATTGCCAAAATAAATGTTGTTCCCTGTGCTGTGTTTCTGTAGCTAAATGACAACCAGGTTGTTTCCTGAGGTATATGACAGGGTTTGGCAAAACTCTGCAACAGATGGGGGAAGATTGTTATACTTATTCATTTTACTTGGCATAGGTCATACTGAGGTTTGAACCCCACCCCTGCCCCCAAATCATAGCAAATCCCAGCTTTGACAGCCAATTTTAACATGTCTTTGTCTCTGATGCATGTTTAACAGCCCTGCTTTCCATCCTAAGTGATACAATCTTTCTTATCATATAAAATGTACCTGAAACTCAAAATCCACTGATATTGTCAAAACTGGACCTGAGTTGTAAGTTTGTAAGAGTTCTGTATATCTGTATGTATGTTTTAAGTCCATATTAGTTTGCATGGTATCAGTGACTGTCTATTTAATGTAACTCCTCTATGAATGCTGGAAATTAACTGGAATTCAGACCAATTAGTCTGTTAATCATTTACATAATTTAAGAAATACTTCTTACCTGAAGGCATTAAAGCAATCTTAAAGTGTATCAGAATTATTAGAAAGCATTTCTGCAAATATATTTTGGTCCCAATTTTTCCTGAGCCAAGAAAATAAAATTTCCTCAGGGGCAAAAAAGGAGCTAGTTTAATCTCCTTGATCTTCAGGAAGCTTGAGAATCAGCAGCTATGGTTCCTGAGGAATCTTATGCTAGTCAATAATTGATACTTCTTAATCTTCATGAACCTAACCTGTTCTAAGCAAAGATGGTGTCCTTTCATGCTGTCAGGAGGCAGGCAGGGGAATGGTGGGAATGACCACTTCTGCTGAGGACAGCCCATGGATGAAGTTTATTGAGGATAACAGGAAGTGGCACCCATTTTGAAACATGCCCATTCACTGAAACATGCCCAACAGCAGGATATTTTTGTTTCTTTTGTAGGCGAGTACTGAGAGAAATAATTGATAATTCTAAAGATATCCTTCAAGAAAGCTACATATTTATTATAGGTTCAACTATCTGGCAATTTTTGTGGAAAATGTCTGAGCTGAGAACATTTAAAGAAAAAAAAGTTAATAAATTATAACTTTACCTTTCTCATTTAATTTTAACTAAAACAAAGTTGTTTACTTTTAAAACTCATACACTGAATCCTGTTCTCTAGCAGTAAGTAGTCTGGAGGAGAAATATTATCTGCACACACAAAAAAAATCTGAAAGCCAACTTTAGGTGCAATCCTTCACTCAACCTAAACTATAGAGCTAAAAGACTCAGCCTCAAAATAATAATTATGCAAGAATGCACTACACTTCTTGAACACAAACTAAAAAGAAGAATGTTACCATAACTTCAATAATAAATCTTCCATATACTGAGGAAAGGAGATTAATGATGTTTCTATTCTATGAGAAAGAAAAGAGACTTTTGGGGTTGAAATTGACGTCAGCTCAAGGGGTTATTTGAAAATGATAATGGAAAAGATAGATATAAATCTTTAAAGAGATTTCACTCTCTTAATCCAGATATAGTCCCCCTAATAATACATAGTCCCCTTAATAGCTAGTCCATCTATCCAATAATAGTTTACATGATCATAGTGCTTTTGATTGACAATTTAGGTAATTACCATATTGTACAAATAATTTGCTATATCCATTTTATGTGGTAATAAATGTGATGGAGAGAGGTATTGAGAGACTTGCCTAAGGTTACATAGCACGCCATTGGCTATTATAGGAATAGAACACTTGGCATAGGCTTTTTAGGCCTCTGGAATGGCAAAAACTGGAGATTTAACCTAGGCAAAGGATCTGGATGAGAAACTGGATGACGAATTTTAGGCACAAACACCTATGCTGCCTACTTCTCGTCCTATGAAATGGGATGTAATGGAGGATCTAGAGGTCTTATGAGCATTTGGTTCAGTTTAGTAACCAAAAATGGGATTTGTCCTGCACATGAAGGTAAAGTACAGGCAGTCCTCAACTTACAACGTTTCAAGTTACAACATTTTGCACTTACTACGTTTATAAACTGACGACCTGTTTCAACTTTATGACGTCAGTTTTGACTTTACAATGCTTGAGCCAATGCGATGCGATGCCATGCCAGCAAACAAGTTCACTGCATCACACATCTCCCTGGAGAACCTCTGTCCAAACTTCCTTGGACACTCTCTTTAAGAATGCAGACAAGACTCCAGAAAAACCTGCAGCCAAGACGCCTGAAAAGACTGTAGCCAAGAACCCTTCAAAAAGTCCAACCAAGAGCCTTTCAAAAAGTCCAGCAAAGTCACCTCAAAGAAGTACTTCCAAATCAATATGATTGCTATTTACAATATAAATATAGTAATGTACCTATATTACTCATCTATAATTGATCGAGTACACAATTCTGAGATATTTTGGGTGAAAATAGGGTATTTGGGCCTTGGTTCAGGAACCAATCCCCCATTTATAACATTGTTTCTTAAGAGAAAATTGGTTCCGAGTTACAACGTTTCAACTTAAGACGCGGTTTTCAGGAACCAATTGTGTCGTAAGTCCAAGGATTGTCTGTACTGTTGCGTTCCATCAAAAGCGTTCCAAACTGAGATGTTTTTGCACCACCACTTCAAAAACTTATTGAGAACTAACTTCAGACTCAAATATATATATATATTGAATGAAGATCAGTGTTTTACCATGAAACCAGGGTGCAATGTTGTTGGTGTTTCTTTCAAACCCAGCACGTCGTGGAAGCTGTTCTTCCTTGAACCAACGAATGATGATTTCTCGGGAAAAGGGTCTAGAAGGACGTTCCCAAACTTTACTAAATTAAAACACAAATAATAGATCAAACTCCATGCAGAGGCTGTATGCCTGTAAAGAATATGTAATGTAAACACAAATTGCACCATAATTATAAAGCACAGGGAACAGGAACAGCTCAAGAGAATTACCTTTTTTCTTGGAAAAAAGGTTTTTTTCATATATATATGAAATTAAGTTTTTAAGTTATTTTTTTTCCTCTCCCCTCCTCTTTTTTAACTGAAAATGTTTTTCATTTTCTGGTTTCGGTGATCTATCCATCTATCTATCTGTCTATATAGATATATATGCTTTTGGTGATAGATAGATAGATAGATAGATAGATAGATAGATAGATAGATAACCAAAACCAGAATATTTTTGTTTTCTATTCTCAATGAAAATGAAAAATATTTTCAGCTTAAAATAGGGAGGGGAGAGGAAAAAAATTAACCACAAAATGTCCATTTTGTCAAGAAGTAATTTTTTTCTTTTTTTAAAAAAAGATATTTTTTTTCTTGACCCTACTATTTCCTCCTGATTTCTTTGGTTTTTTATAGACATTAATTTGCAGGGGGGGAAATGGTTTTTACTTTTTATGGTGTTCCACTGCATTGAGAAGAAATACTAAAGCAGATTCAAACATTAATCTGTTCTGCCTAAACCAGAGAAGAAAGTGTAGAGTAAACATTTCTATGGAGTGGCTCCTGTTTCTGTCCAGCTCTGTATCAGCCATCCTCCCCTCACTCTCATATATTTTGGATAAGTTTACACAACAAGGTTAAGGTGTGATTGTAGTACACAGGTACATAGATCCATGCAACCTGTAATCTAGTGTGTAACAATATTATAAAGGATGCAGTGGCAAGAACTTTAGTGTGGACTGTGTCAACCAACCAGAAAACCTAAACACAAATTCAGGTTTGCTAGCTCAGGGCACATTGTTATCTGTGTCAGCTGTACGGAAGCTAATATACCTACCCACACTACAATCAAATCTTTGTTTTACTTGGTACAATATATCCTTTTGTTAAATCTTCATTTAGGGTAGCCTCTTTCATTTTTCTAGCTATCATGTTCCACTTGGTATGGAATTCTTATTCAATAAATCAAGTCTGAAGACAACCTGGGTAGTATTATAGTTTTAGTTTGAAAGACATTGATGAGTAATGCACTAACATACCAGAGAACCAAGTCCATAAAAGAAGCAAGTTCTACAGTTCACAGTAGAAGTTCCTTTCATGACTAGAGAGCAGACATAAGAAGGTAAGGGAACCCAATGATATCCTTCTTTAAGGTGGGTTCCTGTTTCCACTCAAGTCATTGAAAAATTTTCTGTCAATTTTATCCAGTGAAAAATTAAGCTGTAGTGTAATTAATAGGAGTCTCCGAGGTTGGACCCAAACAGTCTCATTTCAAGTGACAAGTGAAATAGCCAACCAAGTCAGAGTAGATCTGGCCTGCATTTTTTCTGAGTCCCACTCAAATGCTATGATGATACAGAAAGAGAGACACAGGGAAAGATAGGGAGAGAGACAAGCCACCTACAAATGTTCATTGCTAGTAATGGAAAACTACTAAAAATGATTCTGGGAGAGGGAGCAATATAAGCCTGCAACCACCCCCTCATCCTGCTTCTTGAGCCTTCCCAAGACTGGGGTGATCCTAGTCTGAGTAAAGTGTGGGCTGCTCCAGTCTCCCTGTTCCTAGGGAAAACACTTGACATAGGCTTTTTAGGTCTGTGGAATGGCAAAAAACTGTTCCCAGGGAGACTGGGGCAACAAGGCAAAGCCCCCTGCCATTTTTCACATGGGGGACTCCATTAAACTCCCAGTGTCCAGAAGTCAAGCTGATTGAGCAGCAGGGCAAAGCCCCCTGCCCACTTCTTTCTCTAGGGACTCAGGTAAGTGATCAGCCAGCAGGGAGTAGCTGGCAGCTGGTCCTTCCCTCCTGTGGCCCCATTTTCCAGAAATCCAGGGAGCTTTTCCCCAAGGGTCTACTCTCCTGGTCTCTACGAGGAGTTAAGTCATAGAAATGTGCAATCATTTATTCTCCCAGGAGAAACTCTATTCTAACTGGAGTTGACATATTTTTCTCCTGGAACCATCATTTTTGCTCCAGGAGAAAAAGTTGGAACATCCTGTATGCTTGTAGTTTCTACCAAGAGAGAGGCAATTCTCCCAGTAGAAACAGAACATCTATACATGACCAGAGAGGTATGAGTATTCTACGCATATAGAAGAAAGCAAACTACAATAAGATATTGATGTGCTGTGAGGTCCCTCAGATAGTTTTCCTTTGAAGATGATACTGTGTCTGGCCTCAGCCCTAAAATCCAGAGTTCATTCTTTTGGATTTTTTAATACTGGAAGATATGTAGGATCCACCTGCCTTCTGGGAACTGATTGTGTATGAATTAAAAGGGCTGGTTTATAGTAGTTTTCTGCATAGGGCCAAATTTTGGAATTACTCCCAGTCAATTTCTACAGAGCTACAGTAGACAACGTGAGCATCATAGAGGCAGAAAGAGAACAAATACAGCAGTAAAGATAAAGACAAAAGAAAATAATGGGCAAAAGGAACCAAATGCTTATATAAATTAACAAATGAGCAAAAACCAACAGGAATTAATAAAAAATAAAATAATTAAAAGAAGGAGGATGGAACATAGAAGCTTTCCAAAGAATATAAAGCTGAATTAAATAGAAAAAAGAAGGAACATTTATGCTAAGGTGACTTTAAGCACAGCTCTGAAATAAAAAGGCAGTATACAAGATGCACTGGAAGCTCTAACTCACATGTTCCTTCCTGGAGAAAGAATGCTAACCCCATTCTTCCTTTAACCCTGTAGCAAATTATGACACAGCACATGCCAGCTGAGTGACATTGGTCTGCTCAGTGAAAAAAAGCTCCAGTTCCTCCCATTCCCTCTCTTGCCCATCTACTCCAGGCATGGGGCAGTAGGCAGTTGCAAAGTATTTGCTTATTCCTATGCATGCAATCAAGGTCTGAATAGGGTTTAATAAGGATATTTCACTCTTCCTGATTATGTTGTGCAGATATGCCAACGAAGACATGCACAAAGACAAAAAGAAGCCTTGGCCTATTTTCAAACTATGACATATCAGAGATGGATACAGTTTTGGACAAGGCCTGGAGAATGATCGAAAAACTTTTTCTCAGACCTATTTGTAAGAAAATTTCATGCCTAATGCCTTTGAATTCTGTAGCAAATAGCCCCACTTAAAGAGCTCAGCAGTGTAGGCTGAATTATAGCCACTGGTTTTCAAAATTTACTACCTTTATTAGTTATTTTATTACTTTATATCAGAAAAGAGTATTAAGTGGCTTGGAAAAGTAAAAATAATGAGATCACTTTGACAAGTGACTTGGTTGTGAGGTTAGACATCCTGCCGCCTTTGAGACAGCACAATTTTGATTCCTCATCAAACTGGGAATTTCATGAACCATTATCAGCATGTTTCTGTCTCTCAGCAAAACATAGGAAAGAGCTACTTGTCAAAGAAGAACACTGGCCCCGAGCAGGAAAGGACTGAAACCTTTTTGCTGGGCTGCCATACATCATAAGAACAATCTCTTGGAAGTAAAAAAGAAAATAAGAGATGTTACAAAGGGCTTCACTCTTTCTGTTTTGTAAACCTGGGTTTTTATTGGTTTTGTTACCTTTTTCCCTTCTAAACCATACTATGTTGCCTGTGTTCACATTATCTTGATTATTTTACCAAGCCTAATTAATAATATCAGATGGCAACATGTAAACCCAGGAGGAGAGATTGATAAACTTTGCAGCACCCCATCTGCTCTGTTGGATTGTTTTCCAATGCACTTGGTTTGCTAAAGAGAGAGATGAAAGATCAATAGATAAGAAACTCAGAAGACACTTGATTTCGCCTGAAGAAAATTCAAAGCCATTGAGACTTAGGAGTTTGACAGCTCTCTCTAAAATGTGTCAAAGAGCACTTGAGTAGCAGCTATTTCTAGGCTTGAGAGTTAAAGTTTGGAAAAGAATTTGTCCATTTGACTTTCTCTGTAACCCAAACTTGCATGCTAATAAAGCCATTCACTTTTTAAAGATGCATTTCTTTGTGTGTGGACAGTAAAAGGTCCTTCAAGAAATAATTATAATTTAATGTACATTAAACGTTCCATCTGTTTACATTTTTTAAATATTTGCCTCATACCCATGGTCAAAGAGCAAAAGGATAGAGAATCTGTGGGGGAAAAAAAATTGCTCATTCAAAGGGTGGAGGGAAGAAACAAATCAATGGAAGATCATTTTTCTGAGTCATCTCTAGCATATATAACCTGGATGGTGCAGTGAGCATCATTAGCGGGCTTGGGCTGTTGTTGTTCAGCTTTGTCTCCTGATCATTATTCAGGCTAGTACCCCTGAACAGGCTACTTAAACCAGCCACTTTTCCTTTCTGGATGGCTCGCAGGGATTGGCGTCGATATTCGTCCCGAGCTCTGCGTGCTTTATGACTCCTTTCTTCATCTGCAGCTTTTGAGCGGCGCACTGGATGTCAGGTAAGGCAAGAAAGAAAATAATTTGGTTTCTTAAATACAGAAATATACATATTTATTTCTAATAAATACACAATGTATCTTCAAAGAGATGGATAATTGTCTGGTAATGCCATTAGCTATTATATATAGAAGATAAAGGAAGTCTGAACATGTTTGAATAATAAACTCATCATCATTATGCCTTATTCCTCAGCATATTACACAATGGGTGCAGACAGAAATGCAGCTCCCCCCTGTCACTGAGAACATTTTACAGGAAGCATTCTGAGTTACAATGATCCCTGGACCAAACAGAAATTCACTGTTGGTTCCAGGGGGGAGAGGAATCTAGCTGCTGGCTGGAAACCTGCAGCTGGTTTCCCCCAGCAACAGCCCGTCCTTCTCCCAGCCTGTCCCTGTTTCAGAATGGAAGGGCAGAAAGGGAACAGATGGAGCTTATTCTAGGAGTTCCCCGTCTAGCACTGGAGGATGGGATGGGTGATTTGGAGCTCCCCTCCCCCCCAACTCGGGGGGCTCCAATACACCCACCTGAAACTCCAGACCAAACTCCCTCCCATTATGAAAACAATGTGAGGCTGGGAGGCAGCACGGACAGAAGATACAGAAGACACTGTGTTTTGAAATGTTTTCATCTAATGCTTTAGGCAATGAGGGTTCATATTTTCAACTGAATGGCCATTTTGGAAGCTGTCTTCAGTCATTCACTTGTGTTAGGTCATGGCTATAGAAAACTTTCTGTGGCCAGATCAGATGAAAATTTTCACTTCTGTCTGCATCCAATGTTATCACATGTTATAAACATAGCCACTGCTGTAGAAAATATGCCACAAGTGAAACAGTCTTAGATCAATGACCAATCATATAAGAATGGGTAGAGTATTGGTTAATACTTGTGTCACCATAAAAAAGAATGTATGGCAGCAGAAATTGTGAGCAAGTAGATGTCCTAGCCCCTTGAAGTGCTCAAGTATCCAAAAATGTTGCTGCTCCCAAGGGGGCACATCTGCACATGGAATTAATACGAGGCAATAAACTCTAGTGCTTATCATGCCACAGTTTATTGCTCCTGAGTGCACTGTTTGAACATGAGCCCGGGACTGAAGCACATTAAGCAATGTCAGGGTATCCCAACTGGCAGAGGGCCCCAGGGGTAAGCCTGCCACCCTGGGGCTGCTCCTGCCTGGCTCAACATGCTGTGGAGGGGCTGGCTGGGGCACAAGGGTGCTTCAGTATGGGGTTAGTCAGTAGGCATCTGGGTCAGCATCCCCACGCAGTTTGGGCTTGTGCCTCAACCAGCTGGATCAGCATCTACATGCTGTGCACAAAAAAAGCTCTGCAGGAGGATAGTACTTGTGTTTACAAGCACTGCCCTGCTGTGGAGTTTATTAGTTTACTGCAGCTTAATAGGGCCATACATGTAGATATTGAGATGTTTACTGCAGAGCTAATTAGGTAGCATCATGGGGCATGCCCAAGGTAGCTACAGTTTGTGATGACTTACATGGGAGGATGACTATTTGCTTATTGTATCATGGGAATTCTCACAGCATACATATCAGGCTGCTGCACCCTGACTCAGGATGCACATCTGCAAGTATTGGAACCTACATAGAAGCCCCCGTGCTGTGCTTATAGGGAGAACCCTGCAGGGGATTCCTGCAACATATGTTCTCACTTCCACAGTCACGGGGCAGCGACTAGACTGAAGCCCCCAGAGTGGCAAGGGCCTGATTCTGCAGGACAACACTCTCAACAACACCTGTAGATGCCAATGAACCAGATCTTCAGTGCCAGAAAGCATCTTGACACAGCTGATTCTGCTCCAAAGATGATGTCTGTTTATAGTCAGTAGGTTATTACACAGGAAACACTTCATGTACACATTGGCTGCTTTATGAAAAACTTAATCTTTAACCTCATGCATTCAGCTACACCAGACATACACCAAACATTCTGTTCTGGCACAGAACATATTCCAATGTTTAATTTTCAGCACATGAGTAGAAAAATTCAATTGGAGTATTTACACAAACAAATACACCCTTAAGTTCTTTGATAGATTGAGGTACAACAGATACAACACACCTAGGCTAGAATGTATTGCTATTAATGTATGTTTTCTTATAACTGAATTTCATTCAAGTTATATAAAATACATAGTAATATAAAATACAAGTAATATAAAATACAAAGCAATCAGTATATGCTGAGTGTCCTTCCACCATGGGAAGCAGTTCCTAAGAGAAGGAGTACAGAATATACTTGGCCAGGGTGGCTAACCTGTTGCATGTGTGCCCCAGTTGGCATGGGCAGCCTTTGTGTAGCACATGACAGATCAGAGAGGAGACAGGCAGCTCAGTGACAAATAGGGCAGGGAGCAGAAAGCAGAGCATCAGATCAAGCAGAGATAGGGTAATCAGAGTGGCACTTGGGCAGGGTACAAGGATAATCTGTGGCGTGCCTGCCAAAAAAGACATGTCCACTGTACTAGGCCTTGGTTTATGAATATCTCATTCGTACACTTTTAAGCAGCATAGCATTTCTCTCTTTCAAAGGTTTCCTTGGCTGCCTCTTTCTCCACCTGTTTTCTCAGCTTTCACCAGCTGTTTGAGTCCCAAAAGACATTTCCTTGCACCACACTTGGTTATAAAAATTAAATTTAGATTAAGGATCACTCCCCTGTTGCATCTTTGTTGTTGTTTTGCTTTGCCTTTTACAATAGAAAACATCTTAAACAACTAAAGAGACATGAAATTAATTGGAAAAGGTTGCTTGGCGCTTTCACAGGGGAACACAAAAATTGAATTTCTGCAGTTAGAGCTAAAGAACCAGGCTCTATCTAGTGCTATAAAACACTCCCACTATATGTGTATTGGTATAAGGGAGGGAGGTGAGGGGGTGGGTGACATATGACTATGCCAACTATTGGGTTGCACTAACAGGTAAAATTGTATTTCTACAATTAGCAGACTGATACTCTTTACTGAGGTGCCCTCAAATGAGACATCCTTAACTAAAGCATTCAAACACTTCTTATTTGGAAATCTGTGTAGTAAAAGGACAGAAAAAAGGAATTTTCTACACCTGTTTAACATACAGTCAATTAGCATTTGACTACTGACATTAGCCAGCCCCAGTTAAGACATTGTGATCTCTCCTAGCACAGTTAGGGCTGTCTACACTACAAGTCTGCTGGCACAACTGCTAGGGTGTTAGAGCTCCTCAGAGTAGATACAGCATATGCCAGAGGATGAATCAGAGTTACAACAGCTCCCTAAAAGCCACAAACTTTGCCAGAAGAAGGCTTCTTCTGCTTGCAGAGCTGCAACCAAATTGGAAGAATTGCCAGGATAGTTACTGTAGAGAGAGTGTGATCTTTTCACATTTTTAGCTGGCACAGCTGTAGAAGTAGAACATTGTAATGCTAAACCTAAATCAATTCCAGCAAACTCTCAAGAAGGATGTTTGTGCCTGAAAGCTTGCAAAGAACAATTTTTCCAACTATTTAGTTGGTCTGATAAAAGATATCACATTTACCCAAAGAACCTTGTATACTCAAGAAGGAGAGTATTTGAAAAACCTATGACAGCTTGGCAGCAAAAAAGTGAATAGGAAATAATTTTACTAATACATCAATAGGGACTATTAATGTTGCCTATATTAACTGCAAATAGTCTGCTTATTTTGTCATATTTTTCCACTAAATCACTTTTGTGGGTGTTAACTTCATTGCAGACAATATGTTGTTCACTTATCCTATCACTTATCTTCAGTATCTATCAGTAGCTATTCCAACACCCAGATGAACAGTAAACACAATTTTGGTTTAGCTTTAAGGGCCCTCCTCATCCATGCTCTAAACTAGGGTGGTTGTGGCAGGATTGATAATTGCTACTGGAGGCAGTAGCTTGATTTTCTTTTTAACATTTGCTTACTGGATGTTAAAGTTTTGTTTTGTAGTGGAATAATTTCCCTGCCTGAGGTTATTTGTGTCTTAAAAAATCATCAAAATGGGGCCAGAGGCACCAGAAGAAAATGATCTGATAAATGGTGAGCACTCACTGTGCAATTTTCAGTGTACATAAGATGTTTTAAAAAAACAAGGGAAGCTCTAAAAGTATAGTTTTTTGTGTATGCCCAACCACCCTAATTCTCACATATACAAACTCTTCCTCTATAGCAATCATATCTTGGCTAGCACTGTACAGTAGAAAACTACGTGCAATGGGGATGCTTATATGCCTTTAGCTTTCATACCTCAAATGAAACAAGCAAAAATGTATATGGATATATCCAAATTATGAACAACTGATCCTCATCCTTTTGAATATCCTAAATTGAATATTTTCCCTCCTACTCTATCTGCTCTTCCCAGATGCTTCACTCCCAAAATTTACTCCAAACACCTGGATTATAAAAACCTAAATCGAGCAAAGGAACACTCCTAAGTGTATTTTAGGGCACTCGGTGAAACCAGGAAAGACCAAAAGAATGAACCACAAGAAATAAGTGGCCAAGGGATGGCCAGGAAGTTTGGGGATTTAGTAATGTCCACAATAAAAGGGCATGTGGTATCAGAAGGGTAGAGAGATTAAATTAAAATAGATTAAATTTAACAAGCAATACAAGAAAAACTATCTAGTTTCAGTCTTGTGTTTTGATGACATTGGCAGAATTCCAGTTCTGTCGACCTTTTAAATGCACCCTGCAGTTTCCAGTGTAGTACTGCAGACTGTACTATTGCAAAGAGGGGATTAACAGGGAAACAGATTTTATTACTTAATCTAGAGATGGCTGAATTTTAGTGGACGGTGACATGATCCTAATATGCAACCTTAGTGTGGCTAGTATTACTTGGAAAGCTTTTCCTGTTTATTTTTTTAAGACTGTAAAGAAATCGACAATAATTGCTCTAATTATTGTCTTGGCATTATCCTAAAAAGAATGCAAAGAACAGCACTGATGATGAGCTATGATTATAATGCTACA